ATCATTTCTATTCAATACCATTCTGGAAGTCCTAGCTAGCACAGTTAAGAAAAAGGAAATTGAAAGTACACAGATTAAGAAGAAATAAAAGGTGTGTGTGTTCACAAATGACATGATTGCCTATTGGGAAAATCCCAAAGAATGAATAAAAATATTCCTGGAACAAATGAACAATTATAGTAAGGTTGCACAATACAAGGTTAACATACGAAAGTCTACTCCTTCCTTACACAGCAGCAATGAAAAGTTAGAATTGAAATTAAAAACACAATGTCACTTAGCAAGCCCCACACAAAAATGAAACAGATACAAATCTTTAAAAAAAAGTATAGCTTCCCAGTACGTACACATGGAAAACTAAAACTCTAGGGAAAGAAATCTAAAAAATCTAAAGACTACAGATACTGTATGTATATGGCTAAGAAGATGCAATATTGTCAAGAAGTCAGTTCTTCCAAACTTAATCTATAGTTCAAAACAATACCAATCAAAATCCTACCCAGTTATTTTATGGATATCACAAACTGAATCTAATGTTTTTATGAAAAGGCAAAAGAACAGGAATAACCAATACAATATTGAAAGAGGAGAACAAAGTCAGATGACTGGCATCCCCTATTTCAGGACTTACTAACGAGCTACAGGAAGGAATAAAGAAAGATACAGTGATATTGGGAAAGACTAGACAAACAGACCAACAGAACAGAAAAGAGAGCCCAGAGACGGACCCATATATATATATAGTCAACTGATCTTTGACAAAGGAACAAAGGACACATTGGAGAAAAGAAGTCTTTCAACAAATGGTGCAGAAAAACAGACATCCATCAAAAAAATTAGTCTAGACACAGACCTTACATGCGTCATAAAAATTAACTCAAAAACACAGATCTAAATATAAAGCCAAAACCTACAAAACTTCTAGAAGATTAACATAAGAGAAAATCTAGATGACCTTGGGTTTGAATATCACTTTTAGATACAATATTAAAACACAGTCCATTTTTCAAAAATAGACTTTCTGCTCTGCAAAAAAACAGTTAAGAGAACACAAAATAAGCTACATATTGGGAGAAAATATTTGCAAAACGCATTCTGTTAAAAAACTGGAATCCAAAATATATAATACGGTTAACACTCAACAATAATAAGTGATCCAACTTAAATATAGATAACAGATGTGAAGAGACACCTCACCAAACAGATATCCTTATATGCAGAAGGCAAATCAGTCTATGGCAAAGATGCTCAACATCATATTACTAGGGAGCTGCAAAGTAAAATAACCTTAAGGTACAACTTCACATTTTAGCAATTTTAGAATAGCTAAAACCCACAACACTCACACCACCAAATGCTGACAGGATACAGAGCAATAGGAAAGCTCAGTCAATGTTAGTGGGGATGCAAAAAGATAGAGTCACTGTGGAAAACAGCTGAGCTATTTCTTAAAACTAAACATACTCTTTTCATACAATCCAGCAATCATACTCCTTGGCATTTACACAAATGAATTGCAAAGTTATATCCACACAAAATCTACACAACAAATGTTTATAGTAGCATTATTCCTAATTTCCAAAAAGTTGGGAGCAACCAAAATATCTTTCACTAGGTGACACATCCAAACAATGGTATATTATTCAGTGCTAAAAAGAAATGAAAAGGCATGGAGGAACCTTAAATGCTAATTACTAAGTAAAGAAGCCAATCTGAAAAAGCTACATACTATATATTACAACTATAACATACTGGAAAAAGTTCAATTATTGAGACAGAAAAAGATGAGGGGGCTGCCAGGGGCTCAGAGGAAAAGAGCAGAGGGAATGTTTAGGGCAGTAAAACCTCTCTCTATGATACTGCAATGATTGATACATGTCATGGTGTATTTCTCAAGCCCATAGAATATACAACACATAGAGTGGTCCTCAATGTAAACTATGGATTTTAATAAATAATACAAGAATATCAGCTAATCAATTATAACAAAGGTACCACACCAAAGCAAGATGTTAACAACAAGGAAACTGGGAAGGAGGGATAGCAAGGAAGCATATGGTAACTCACTGTACATTAATTTTTCGGTAAACCTAAAACTGCTCTAAAAATAAAGTCAAGGGATTATGAAAAAATACTTTTGTATACCCCATTTTATCACATCTTTCTCACAGAAATTGAGGTGGGGGATATAGAGTAGGAGGAGTCTTTCTATGTCTACATCTTTTTTTTTTTTTTAACATTTTTTTAAAATTTTATTTTATATATTTTTACATTTTTCATTTTTGCACAATGTATGCATTGTCTTTTTTTTTTAATAATAAATTTTATTTTGGGCCTCCCCGCTGGCGCAGCGGTTGAGCGCTGGATTGCGAAGCTGCCCACAGCCTCTGTAGCGCCGGTTCGATCCCCGGCTGCTCCCCGGCCACCGGAGGAGGGTCCCACATGGCACGCAGACCTCTCCTGCTGCCCACTGCTCCCTCAGCAGTATACTTTGGTCCTTCTGCCTGCTCTGCTGCCCGCTCTGGCTCCGGTGAATTCTCTCGCCCTCCCGTGCTTCTGACTGTACCCAGTGCTTGTATAAATAAATAAATAAATAAATAAATAAATAAATAAATAAATAAATAATAAATTTTATTTTTATATTCCCCATACAGTTGCAACCCCCCCTTTCTGATCCCAATCCCTCCCCTCCCGCCCCCCACCCCCCCAAAAGTGTCTCTGTTTCATAGTTTTTTGTTGATTCTGATTTTCACTTTCTTATAGTTATTCATTTTCCTGGTCTCTTATTTAAGTTTTCTAGATTCCTGCTATGAGTGAGTCTTTTTTTTTTTTTTTTAAGCTGTATTTATTCACGCATACAAGAACCGGGATACAGGTCAGAAGCGTGGGAGGGTGAGAGGATTCACTGAGACAGAGCAGGGAACAGAATAGGCAGACTGACCGAAATACACTAATGAGGGGAGCAGCAGGCAAGACAGGAGAGGTCTGCTGTGCCATGTGGGTATCTCCATAGCCAGCAGGGATTGAACCCGCACTGCAGAGGCTGTGGAGAGCTTCACAGCACTGTGCTCAACCGCCTGTGCCACCAGGGAGGCCCTCTATGTCTACATCTTTTATACTAGTGATTAGGATAACCTACTGAATTTTCAATTCTAACAAAATACACCATAGTGAGATTAACTAAACAAATATAAGACTAAGTAATTGGGACCTTCCTAGTGGCGCAAGAGGTTAAGTCTCAGCACTATGAAGCTATCACCAGCCACTGCAGAATGAGTTCCATCCCAGGCAAGGGAGCCGAGCCCACATGGAGCAGCAGACCTCTCCTGTCTCGCCCACTGCTCCAGTTAGCAGTGTATTTCAGTGGATCTGCCTGTTCTGCTTCCCTCTCTGTCTCTGGTGAATTCTCTCACACAGCCCCATCCCCCACATACACACCTCTGGCCTACACCCCAGCCCCTTCTACACATAAATAATAAAAATAAACCTTAAAAAAAAAAAAGACTGAATAATTCAACAATGGTGAAAGTAGCCAACTAGCCTAAAAAGGAAGTATGAAAAGACCGTCAAGAACTTACTTCCAATGTATTAAATGGTGAACAGAAATATCCTCTAATACAGTCTTTAAAAAAGAATAAAAGGAAAAGAGCTTAGGGAGATAAAATTACAGTTTACCTCAATAAACAACCTAAAACTAATCTATTTCCTCTATTCTCTGAATGACATATTCTCTGAATAGGAGGAAAGTGAAAGAATGAAACTGAATTGGGGCCTCCCTGGTGGTGCAGGAGTTAAAGTCTCAGCACTACCAAGCTATTGCCCTCTGCTGCTACATGAGTTCAATCCACATCAGGGAACTAACCCACATGATGCAGCAGATCTCTCCTGTCTCACCTGCAGTGTATTTCAGTGGATCTTCCTGTTCTGCTCCACACTGACTCTGGTGAATCCTCTCACCCCTCGCCCCGGCACCTCGGGCCTACACCCCAGTTCTTATATGCATAAATAAATAAAAATTAAGCTTTAAAAAAAAAAGAACGAAACTGAATTGGTTGTAAACAAAATGGAGTGAGCCTGTGTGGCATGGAGTAGAGAAGTTAAAAATATCTACTATCCTAACTTTACGTAACATATACATCCTGGAACAAGCTGTTTACTTTACATCAAAACAAAAGTAATTTCAGAAAGACTTAAAACTATTCTGCTAATTTCCACTGAGAATCTATCTAAAAATCAGTGATGTTATTAACTTTATGTTTAAGATTACAACATTATTAGCTGCTACAGCTCTTTTTTAAAAAAGCATCACTCAGGAAAGGTATGTCAGAATATCCAATCTCCAGTCACATTTTTCTTAAAAAGTAATTCATTAAGAAAGTCTGTCTCCATAAAAACATATTTTACAAGTATGTGGGATGTGTTTGTTTCTCTACTGAAACAAGAACCAACTTGAGAGAAGAGCACATTAACAAGTTCTGAAGATAGAAGTAATTAGCATATTAGAAACTGGCATTTTTGGCACAGAAGCCCTATAGCAAGAATGTCTATCCTCCAGTCATGAGTCATGGACGAGGCTGCCTCTTTATTTATTGTGAAGCAATCTTTCAGTAATAGGAGCGGCAAGGAAGAATACAACATATGAATAATGACTTGGACAACTTCCCAGGAAGAAATCATAATGAAGATTGGACTGAGAAAAGTTCCATAGTATACACATTACACTAATGCTCTCTTTTCTTAATCATTCCTACTCTTTAGTTAACAGCAAAGAGAATGAGATTTAGATCCTAACTCTATGTAAAGTTTTCTATTTGTGTATGGATTTCAGTAATACTGAATGAAATTATATAAATATTAACATGCCTTTCGATTTTGTGAAAATGAACTATTTAATATATTATTATAAATTGTTTTATGATGATTGGTAAAAAGCTCTTACTGTCACATACCCACCCCAGCACACACATACAATGACACCAGAAGGCAACACTCTGCTTTACCTTCTGCTGAAAAGTCTGCTACCTCCAACGCTTGAGGTCCATACACGAAGCCCTCCTGGAATCTATGAACACAGCAGAGGCAAAAGGCAGAGAAGTTTATGTAGATTTAAAGTTACACTGCCCAAAACATAAAATGCCAAATGCCTATCACAAGTCTACATATCTGCCAAGGCAATCAGGCTTCAGATTCAACAATGAGCAAATCAATGATATATCCATAACATTCAGAGTTTATTATATATTATGCAGCTAATTATATTAAAAAAAATAAAACTTGAGCCTTAACTAATTTATATTCTCACAAAGAAGTGTTTTACACTATGGGAAACACTAAAAGAATTACAGAAAATGAATTCACATATGCCAAAGTAACAACTCAACTTTTAAAATAACGTGAGAGCCAATACATAGATAAGGAAAATGAAAGAAATTAAGCAGAAAATTATGCTTCACAAAATAAGAGTGTTACAGAAGCTATAGCTTCAAGATATATTCTTTCTTAGGACCAGAAACTGTCATGAATATAGGAGAAAAATAAATAGAAACTTGAAAAAGGACAAAGGCAGAGGAAAACAGGGAAAAATTGAACTATTAAGATATCTCAGTGCCAACACGTAAATTAATTCTGACAGCAATGTGAAATAAACAAGGTATTACATATGCTATTCAATAGAGGGGAAATCTACCTTGTCCAGTATTATAAAATAAACATAAGCATGAAACAAAAAGTTTTTCAGAAAACATTTCATACAAAAATTAAGGCTTTAATCAGGTAAAATAGTTAGATCTCAGATTTCATTTTATCCTTTTCTGACAAATGTATTCCTTTATTCTCATACAAGGAATAAAGAAATCGGATAAACTTTACTATAAACTTAAAAGAGGGGAGAAAACTATCTTTACATAGTATTTATAATTCCTTAAATTATAACCAAATAATTGGGAAAGAAAGAACAAAAGTATTGTCTTAAATTATGATATCAGGAAAGAAACATAGTATTACAAAACACTGACCCCAAAGTCAGGTTCAAGTTCTAGCAAGATCACTTAATGTTTTGTGGCACAGGCAAGTCACTTAATCTCACAGTACGAGCAGATAAATGAGGGCTCCTTCATGACCTCTCATTTTTATACTGAATAGGAAATGAAAGAAGGTATCAAAAATGCTATAACTCCAAAAGTTGTTGTATTTGGCAAAAATTTAAATAAGCAGTACATTTGATTTAAATTAACAATAAAAGTTCTTAGTACTAGAGGGAACACTGAGTGCCAAGCCAAGGAATTTAGGAGACTGTGTGAGGAAGCCCAAAGAAACAAAGTAGAAAGACTGAGCTGGCCAAAAGAATCCAGAGTAGTTCTCAGGGCTAAATGGCAGCCAGAAGGTCACAGTCTCCAAGAGCTTGGTGTAAAATATTGCTAATTTAGCAATGTGCCCAGCACCTATTAGATGCAGATGTAGCCTCTCTCAATTCCTAACAGTCTTACAGATGGGTACTCTCCTCCAAAGGGATTCCTATGACATTCTAAGCTAAGGCTCCGGGACACAGCAACTACATATAGCATACATTGCTTAAAAAAAAAAAAAAAGAAAAAAAAAAAAACCAAGAATGGCAGCAGAGCCTTAAACAGGATGTATTATATGACAGGCACTGTTTTAAGAGCTCTATAGGTATTAACTCATTTGGTCTTCACAACTCTAAAATAAATCTATGTCATTCTTAGCAATATCTTTAGTACTAAAATATTTAACTGTACTAAAAGTTTAAACAAAATAATTGTTTTAACTCAAAGTTTAAGATAATTAAAATATAATTTTTGCTCCAATGGTGTCAAAATACCTTCAATCCAGCAGAACTGCTACTCTACTCGTTACCCAAGATAAATCCTTTCAAGAGTAATTTCTTTTATAAGAGATTACATTTATTACTATCTAGACAATATACATTAGTCTTCCTACCTCTATTCTCAAACCTCTTTGTGACAGACTACTGGCTGCCTACCATATGGCCCTTCTCCCTTAGTAACAGACCCTTGTTTTATTCAGGACAGCATGCACTCAGGAAAAAGTATACAATCTCCAATGTTTCCAGCTGCTAGGACTGGTCAATGTACTGAAAGTGGGTCTTCTAGGACTAAGCTACTTACGAGTATGGGTTTAACTGGGAATGTGTATATATAACTTGGAAATGATGGATGGTACTCCAGCAGTCATTTTGAAACATTTGATAAGAGAAGCTATTTCAAAGGACAGTGAAGCAGATAGAAGGAACTCGGGTTCTGGATGATCCTAGAGTCACTATGCAAAACCTGGGCTTCAGTATGAAAAAAGCATTGCAACAGCTCTCCTAAATTCTATGTATCCATTATGCAATCCTAGTCAGTTACAGTAAAGAAAGTCTATTTCTTACCACATAATATTTAGAATACCTTAGATTAACAGCTACACCCATTAAAAGATTAGTAAAAATAGTAAGAGTAACAGAGGCTAAACAAGAAAGTTACTGCAGGAAAAAGAAAAACCAAACTAATTTAATCTTAACCTGTATATCCTCAAACCTCAAAAGAAATGTACTTCTCTGACAGTATACGTATATCCCAGGCATCTCTTTATAAGTGGTTCATGAAAAGACATAACATAAAAAGAAATAAGAAATATCCTGAAATGGTGGCACCAGGTATTTCAGTATATAGACCAAAAAAATACCCCAACAGTGAGCATTGTTCAATACAAAATGACAGAAAATGGTGTAAGAAATTTCCTTCTATAAGAATATTTTAAAATTCAGAAATTTCTGTCTATATGAAAGTTCATGTTTAACCCTATGTGAAACAAGAGAAGTTGGCATTAGTGACTAAGTCTTTCCTACCCATAATCCCAACCATCAATGAACCAATTATCTTTTTTTTTTAAAGAAGTCCCATTTATTTATTTATTTATTTATTTATTTAGACATTTATTTATTTATACAAGCACTGGGTACAGTCAGAAGCGCGGGAGGGTGAGAGAACTCACCAGAGTCAGAGCAGGAAGCAGAGCAGGCAGAAGGACCGAAGTACACTGCTGAGGGGAGCAGCGGGCGGCAGGAGAGGTCTGCGCGCCATGTGGGACCCTCCTCCGGTAGCTGGGGAGCAGCCGGGGATCGAACCGGCGCTGCAGAGGCTGCAGGCAGCTTCGCAACCCAGCGCTCAACTGCTGTGCCACCGGGGAGGCCCTGAACCAATTATCTTTTAGTTACCAGGACACTAAGGGTCCTTTACTGTGTCCCAGAACTCAGTCTATGCCAATTTTTGTTAAAGTAAGTTTTCTCACTGTGAATTCTACAGCCCTGTGCCCAATAATGAAAAACAGAGCAGAAACTAATGAAAGCAAGATCCTGCTTGGTGATTTAGAGTCAAAGAACCTCTGCCAATAACTGTCAAAGTGGCTCCCTCATCCCACTCCAATCCCAATTTCTCAGAATAAAATAAAGATTCCAAAAAGAACCCTGTGGAATATAAAAACTAATGCTACAGTTATACACAGAAACAAACAACTTCTCAAAGGAATCTGCTACCCTTAAATAATTGAGGGGAGAAGAAACAATTAGTTAAGAGAAAAGGATATATTATAACTCTATCTGTCAAAACAAATGTGAGGTCTATCTTTGTACTCCCCTTCTAACAAGCCTGGAAATACAGAAAGAAAATAACAACAAAGGATAGAACTTCCACTCTGGAACTATGTTAATAAGACAGCTGTGTGTTTTTTTTTTTAATGGTACCTCAACTGACTCTACAATTTGGTCCCAGGTTTTGTCACCTACCATCCTGGCCACCACAGTTGCTACTAAAAAGCAATCCTCATCATTTTTTACCTCTACCTCCACTTCTTTTAACTGTCTGCTGTTTACTCTCTCATCCTCATTTGTCCTCTCCAGCATCCAAATTGCTTGCAAAGCGGATCATGACATTCCTCTCTATGTGGCTACATGCCAAACTGTTAGCAATGGTCATCTGTAGTGAATGTCTACATTTCTGTATTACTTGTTTGCATTTTACAACAACCATGTGTTCCTTTACAATGGGAGAGAGGGGTAACTCAACTATTTCCATTTGCAGAACTATTAGAATCTATTCCATGTGGAATCTATTACATTCCTTCTCCATCAGGTTAAAGATCAAATTCTTTTGCCAGACACACAATGATCATGCTCTACCTTTCTCAAACATATGTCTAACCTCCAACCCAAGTACTCACTCTAGTCATCCTGAATTACTTGCTGTCATGTTTTTTTACATCATAATTTTATACATTTTGCTTTCTCTGTGTAGAATACGAAATGCAACAATGATCTTATATTTGTTACTAATAATCAACCTGCCTCCCTCTGATAGTTAATGTATTAACAGATACATTAATCTAAGAAAAACAGTAATTACATCCTGCAGCACATTATTCATAACTGTAGCCTAAATCTCACAGTTATAACACACTAAATTATTTCCTTCTAATCTTTTTTAAAAATTTTAAAAATTATGTGCTGCACTAGAGCCTAAGAGATGATATATGAGGGTGAACAATGAAGATTTCTTTGGACAGGGGAAGTGTAACAACCCTGGATAAATCTGCAACACAACTTTTCAGAGTGCAATAGTTCTAATTGAAGGATAATAAATTTTCTGATCAAGCAACAGCTATAAAGCTCAATTTAACTTTAAAATAGTAGGAATATCTATATTACTTTCTCTCCTTTTCACAGGAAAATTCCAAAGTTGGCCACTTATAAAGCATATAATTGCTTTTGTCAGCTGTCAGCTTCTTCTATAATGTAGCAAGTATAATCAAATGGAAATTACAGATTCCATGTAACTTAATGAGCTTTCTTCTTTTGATTATAAATTATACATAATTCTTTCAAATCATATAAAATGCAAAAACAAAAATCCAAATTTTTAAAGATACAAACCAAACACATGAAAAACAAAAACATTTCTTTGATTGTATAAGTGGATCAAGTGAAATCAGCAAACAGCATTAATACAGATTTCTACCTAAAGAAATAAGTTAAGAAAAAAGAGCAAC